CTCTGCAGGGCCATCCTACCCTCCAGCAGATCGGCACTCCCTCACTCAATTCAGGCTTGGGCAGAGATGCCCTTTAGGTGGATGGGCACATATATGTGAAGGGAAGCTGCCATCAATCAGTGCCGCTGCTGCAGTGTGTACATCTCTCTCCGCACATGGCGGGTCAGGCTGTGCAGTCCACCAAACCCAGGTTTTAACTCAGCTGCCCTAACGATGCTGCATTCACAGCACTATCTGTGCTCCGAGTTCCATGCGTGTCTGGAAAGAATACGCAGGAATTTGTTCTGTTGTGAAGGTCTGGTGGCAGAAATGATATTCCATAATTGAGCTTTCTGTTCCTTAAAACAAGGAAGAAAAATGACTTTTCTGGTGTGATCCAGCACTATCAGCTGTATAAAGAGTGAAGCTCATTGTGTGAGGGTAAGGTTCTTAGAGCTAGCACGCGTGAATGTGTATCAGAATGTTTAGCTCTTTACTCTGTCAGACATGGCTATAAGTTTTCTAGAGGAGAGTCCCAAAATAATAGTATGTGGGTCAAAACAGATTAGGTGAAATAGCAAGAGAATTTTTAGAACTGGAATCGAAATAATGACTTTTTTTTAACACTAACATCAGAAAGACAAACTGAGGAGTCATAGAAGTTTTCAGTATCCTCCAGGCATGCAAAAATGACTTTTTTTTTCTAGTGGCTTAAAGTCCTAGATCTTAAATGACAGCAGCTTAGCCTGCTTTCAGTTTTAATACTTTAAATCTATACTGTGAAACTAAAAAAAGAACTGTATATTTTATCAGTCTGCCATGCATTTGTGGGGAATTTTATGCAAGGATACCATCGTAAAGACAGTATTTCACTTTTCTACTGCACTGTTCATCAGGAGACCAATATTTTACATTCATTAAAAAATCCTTACAACATTCTTCCTCAGCAAGTACGCAGCATACTGCTTGTGCTGTTTTCCACAGAAAGCATTGATTTTTCACTTTGAAAAGCTGAATGTATAAAAATGCAGCATGTCTTATGAGGTTTACAGATTAGATTTGCCTCATGAGATTTGGCCCTTATTTCATCTATGGGCCATGGACCTGAGGTAGCTTTCATTGCCATGGTGTACTGCTGCGTTATTGCTGCTGTGATATGCCATCTCTTCCGAACTAGAGATGTGAGATCTTGGTGCTTCATGGAAAATGTAATCTGCTGTGAAGACCTTGTTTATGGTGAAGAATAAGATGACGAGGTATTGATGTGGCATTTAAAGCTACACATATGTCCACTGTTAGTTCCCACCACTCCCTCTTTTGGAGATGTTTTCCATGGTGATCCCTTCTTGTCTGTCAGTTTTTTAGCTGATAGGATGCTCATCCCCCATTTGACTGTGGAGTACATCTAGACAGTAGGAGTGCCTGTGTGGTTAACCAGGTGGTGTTGGGTGGCTCTTGAGCTAATTGCTTCAGCTGCAGAAGTCTTCTGTTGACCAGACTGGGGAGTGCAGTGCATGCCATTAAAGGTCATTAAATGTCAGAGGAGAGGGAACTCGGAGTTCACAGGAAGCAACTCCTTCTTATCTTTTAGGTGTAGGAATTAATAGTGTGGTGTAAGAAGCGCAACATAACCTCAGGGAAATGGGCAGTGATACAGGGCCTGGCTGTGACATTAATGTTTTCAGGGCTGTATTTATCAGACTGCAGAAAAGAGAGAGAGGGTAAGCCACAAGAAGAGCAACAGAAAGGAAGAAATGGCATTGCAGTCTTCTTTGTTGTTGTCTTAGAATAAATGAATGTTTTACTGATGGATTTGGTTTAATCCTATGGAGTAACACCAGGCAGTCATTAATAATCAGGAGTAGCTACAACATAGCTGCCTTTTCACTATTAAATACATGGGTTTGGCTTCTGCTAAAATATGGGTGGATGGATGTGAGCATGGTGAAGAACCAGAAAAGAGGCCAAAGGTTCTTCTCTGACTGTCAGCAATGATTAGGGCTGGCAGCCCAGAAAATTGCATTAGAATTACTGATGTGTGACGCTTTTTTCCTCTGTACATTTTGTTAACAGTTTGTTAGCTTGCTGGAATCTAAATTTGTGGACCAGAATCATTCAGATGTTTCAGAGCTGGAACTTACATAATCAGTTAAAGAAAAGGATGACAGGCTCTTGAGGACATCGTCCTTCTGGAGCGATAGAAGAGAACCCGTAGTGTGTCTTAATGTGCTTGACTCCTGTACGCTTAATCAAGACCTAAAAATATCACCTGTTTCCTGTGGATATTGAAGAACCTATCTTCTTTTTTGTCTTTCTATTTTTGCAAGATTCTGCATATTGGTTATGTTCTTCCTCCTTATTCCCGAGAGCAGCTGTGATCCAGTTCTGCTCTCTGCAAAACAATTTTCTCTAGGCTGAAAAAACGACTTCTTAAATAAAAACATTATTATTTGGTAGCTCTTTTTGTGTTTTACTCCATGCCTTTTTCTGTGTAAGACCTTTAAGTTAGATAAATCCAGAGCACATGTTTGACTTGCACTGTGTCTTTCTTTGTTTAATTAGAGGACTACCTGATAAAAAAATTTCCTTCTTTTTTTATTTTCATGGTTCTTTTGGAAGGTCAGACAAGAAATATTCGTGTAGGAATTGCAAGAAAAATGTATGTGCAGGGGAGAAATGCAGGGACACAAGCTTGATGCTCATGACTTTGCATTGTAAAATTTGCCATTATTTTTCAACACGGTTGTGAATTAATTTATCTTGAGAGTGGCAGACATTTCATACAAGCTTCCGATCATTTCCTTAATCCTAGAGTAATCCTTTGTCCTGGTTAGTGGGCTCGTGCCTGATCTCTGTCGATAAGCAGCCTGAAACCCAAGGGGGCTGTAACCTGGGAGTTCAGGGTGCTCCTGGGGGAAAGTGGAGATGTCCGATGCCATTGCCACTCTTCAGTGATCTGTAGCCAATATGTAAAGACTGCTGACATGATTTACAGCCTATGTCTCTGGTGTGTAGGCTTGAAAGGTCCATTCGCAGCTAGCCTGAGACCAAGGTGACCTTGGTGATGCGTGGTCTAAACCTTCTGTGTGTTAACTCCACAGTGGGGACCTGCAGGTGACGGGAAGTGGACATTGCCCATATAGCACTGCCCAGAAAGCCATTGGAAAGGACAACTTCACGATGATTCCTGAAGGGGTCAATGGAATTGAGGAAAGAATGACTGTTGTCTGGGACAAGGCTGTAGTAAGTAATTACTTTTATGGGCTAAAAAGAAATCGAGTGTTGGCTGAATAATGAAAGCCAGGAGACTCCTGGCCAGTACTGAAGTGACTTTCTAATATATTTCTGAGAATTCCCTGAGAGAGTGCTACTACGAGGTGAATTGTTTATTTCAAAAACCTTCTCCAGTTTTATAAACTCAGGGCTGTGTTTCACTTTTGACACTGCAACACCATCGTGTTTTATTAGACCTGAGGCTTCACAGACTCCACTGCTCAATTTTCCAGTTGTGTCAGAGTGAATGTTTCTCAGAGATGTAGGATCTGGAGCAGTTTAATGATTCTGAAGTGGACCCCATATAAATGTGATGAATGGATTGTTTGAATTTGGGAAGCGTCTCATCGTTTTTTGAGAAATAACAAATGGATGGCAGCTGAGCCTGAGGCTAGACGATAAAATGCTTTAAAGGAGAGCATTGCATGTAATTCATACTGGCATATTTTGCAGCGGGGTGCCGGTATAAGTTAGCAATTTTTTGATGGTTCCATGGATCCTAATATATAAGGATATTCTCCCTGCATTGTCTGTCTTGGACACACACCCATGCACACACACTCACTCATACACACACTCACTCATACACACACTCATTACCTTACATTGCGTTGCACTTGAATGCATACTGCATACTGGGAAGTGGTAGTATTTACAATGCTCATATAAGCACTTCTCCCAGACTGTGTTTAATAACCACTTTCTTCAGGGACTGCTATTGAGATTCCAAGCACAGAAGCAGCTTCAGATATCTGCCATGTAGGAGCAAAGCAGGGAAGCAAGCAAAGTGCAGCCAGCCAGCAGTATTTCCCTTTTGTTACTCCCACAAAGGGAAGGAGCTGCAGCAAGGGCTGCAACGTGGGATTTACAGGTGGTAACATTCAGTCTTGCATTTCTAAGTAGCTTATATTTTGCAAATCTCATGTTTTACCAGGAAGGAAAAAAGTGTTCACTTAATATTAAAAAGTTTGGCGTTGTTCTTCCTTGGAACATTGTTCTTGCTTATTGTCAGGGAAGACCCCAGAATACTGAGAAATCAAAATGCTGTTGTGTACAGCTGCTATTAAGCCATCACTGACTGTATAAAAAGTTCAATTGGTGGTGACATTTCTCCAGGCAAGACCTTTATAATTGGGGTTGTATTACTCAGATGTATAGAAACATAGAATCATTTAGGTTGGAAAAGACCTTTAAGATCATCCAGTCCAACCATTAACCTAACACTACCAAGTCCAGCACTAAAACAATTAAGGGTAGAGTAATAATTAATTTCAGGTTTGATAATACTAATAGTAGAATGGACTTAATTTGCAAGAAATGTTTCTAAGAGTCTGAATCTTGATCTTTTATTTAATCTCTTAATACTCATAGAAGTTTCTCTGGTTTAAAATCATTAAAACATTTAAATGGAAATTACTAGGGCTAGCAACAAAACACACTTAGGCATCAGTGTGTAGAGAAAGGGACCTTAGATAACTGAGCAACCTGATGGTATCATCTGCATTAAGGTGTCTGCTGCTGCTCTTTGGGATGCCAGGAGTAACACATTCAACTTACTTGAAACTCCCAAGTAATGTGCCTTGTATAAAGTCCTGCTTGATAAAACCTCTGTTTCATGCAACATCATCATATATATGAACCACATGCCTTCCTGTATCTCCCTGATCGTTTGGCATTCTGAATAGTAAATCCCCATTTTATTAGCACGTTTTGCTGAAGTCACATTGTTTTTAGGCCACAGGTAAGATGGACGAGAGCCAGTTTGTAGCTGTCACCAGTACCAATGCTGCCAAAATCTTTAATCTGTATCCAAGAAAAGGCCGGATTGCTGTAGGATCGGATGCTGATGTAGTTATTTGGGACCCTGATAAGGTGAAGACTATAACAGCTAAAAGCCATAAATCGGTAAGGAGAAAAGGAAAACCAGCAAGAAAAAAGAAATGTCACTGTTGCTTTTCAAATGTTGATCTAATTCATGTGAACACCAAATGCATGGGATATAGAGGAGTGGGGTAACTGCCTACTCCTATTCTGAAATGGGTAAATGTTTCAGAAGATGAAAGTATTGAAATCTTGCATTGGAAGCACTGGGATCAGGAAGGATTTCTTTTCTCTCTGCTTATACCATTGCACTATTTTTTGCATGCTTGTGGCAGATCTGTAAATAGGTGTGAACCAGCAGGTCTGCAGCTGAGGTTAGTAAAGCTGTGATGATAAATTTAAAACCAGCTCACTTTTTTGCATACCTGAAAAGCACCTGATATAATAAATTGCACAATTAAATCAACAGTATTCTAAATTATGACAGATGATTGAATATTTTGATAATACAGCTCTGAGCATCTTCACAGCTGGGATTTTTTATTTAATTCTAGAGCTTTGCTGCATACTTCTCTGCCCTTAGTACAGAGTACCAGTGACTCACAGTTTATTTGATTTTGTGACAGGTTTTATCTTATGTGTTGTGTATTTGAAAGTTGTTGTCTTACTGTTTGGTGCTTTGGTCTTTTATATTGGCGAATTCTTCCAGACGTTTTACTGGAAATCCAGTAACATGGCCATGGCTTATATTAAAGAGGCATAAACCTTTAGAAACCTTTAAAAAGTAAGTTCAGGTGATTCAGTTTTTATTTCTCTGTCTTGGGATCTCTCTGTATTTTCAAGAAAGTAGTAATCACCTGCCCTTTGACAGTCATTTCCATTTAGACTCAGGCTTTCCTGTTCCTTTCTGGGCTTTTTCAGACAGAAATCTGTGTGCCGGCCCCTTTGAAATTCCCTTATACAGGCACAGCAGATGCATGGTGGGACCACGTCCTCTGGGTATCTGGCAGCTGAGTTGCAATTTTCCCTCTTAGTAAGGCTACTGCACTTTCAGAGGCTCTGGATAAATATGGAAAGTCCTCAAAAACAAGCCACGATGGAAAGTGAGCAACAGAAAGGAAAAGACTGATCCAGGAAAGTCTGATCAGAGAGATTCTTTTAAATCATTTCATATTGTAATGCATTGCTTTTCCTTCAGACAAAACAATTTTATACACCTCTTAATGGCAGTTGTCTAAAAATATGACTACAAATACAGATCAGAAGTTGCAAACTGAAAGAGATCTTGTACCGAACTTGCAGTGAATATGTTGGTTGATCCCCAGGCTGTTGAGTACAACATCTTTGAAGGGATGGAGTGCCATGGTGCCCCGCTTGTGGTTATAAGCCAAGGGAAGATTGTGTTTGAAGATGGAAATCTGCACGTAAATAAGGGAATGGGCCGCTTCATCCCTCGCAAGCCTTTCCCTGAATATCTTTACCAGCGCATCAAAATCAGGAATAAGGTAATGTCAGGTATTATTTAATCTTCTTTATAGTCATACACTCTTGGAACCACAGTAGCGCATGTTTTTATGTTATTATTATTGTGCTGAGTCCATATCAGAGGGACTATATATGTCTGTTCAAAATGTGACCAAAAAAATGGTTCCTCTGTAAGTGTGAACAGAAGTAAATTAATTAACATCGTGAGCTTCAGTGGGTCGAGCATTATAATTGCCAGTTGGGCATAACTGCCTTATGTCCAGCTGTGCAGTCTTTTGAAGGGAGGTGGAACAGTGATAGAATTTGCTTTTAGCTAGAATTCAGGAAAAAGATAAAGTGTCTTTGGGAGGAGAGTTAGCCGGAAGAAAAACAGAATTTTAAATTGTTACTGAACTTTGCATACTGAACAGCCACACTGCAGAGAAGAAAAGCATGCAAACCAGAGATACTCATTATATTTGGCATCTCTGAGCTGTTGTTGGTGCATTTGCTGAGCTGAGTATTAGCAGCATTCACAGCTCGGAAAAACTTTTCTCTTGTGTTTAATAAAAAGCTTGGGAAATGACCAAGATTAAGACGGGGTCACTTCAGGTTTTGAACTTTATCAGTGCTCCGCTGTTGAAAACCAATTGGCTTGGCACTAGTTTGGGGTTATTTGGAAATTGCTTTTTGCTACTGAGCAAGAAATTCACTGTGTGAGGACAGGTAACAAGACAAATTGACTAAACCCTGTATTTTCTTCAACCAAGCATATATCATAGCCTGTGGGGATGGCAGCTGAAATTCAGTCTTGGAGTGGGTTGATAGATTTTATCTTTCATCATTTGTTATACAAATTCTGTCTGTCAAGCTGTGGAATACAAAAGGTCTGCTCTTCTAACGAGAAAAGACACTGCAAAAATCAAATGCATCTGCAAAAGTTTTGCAAAATACTAATTGTTCTTACACTTTTTTTACATTGTCCACTTGTCATCATGGGCCTTCTCTTCACACTTGACTCCGGAGAGTTTAGTGCATGGGAGTGGTATATAAAGTAGATTATTATAATCTAATAATTATACAAATCTATTAATACAATAGTAAATTATATAAATTAT